CCAGGGCCCCTAATCACCGCAGTTGATTCGTGCGTCGTTCTGGTTGCTACATTAGGGGCCGACGTTTGGTGGACAGGAATGACCCGACCAACGGTTTCTGGAATTGTTACGCCACAAACCACTCATCTCTGCAGTCTGATAGTTAAGACATTACTCCTAGCGCTGAGGGTGGCTTTATCAGTATAGAAGACGACATCGAGCGCAGTTTTGCACAGGGAGGGAGTTATCTCACCAGCTAGGGTGCTGGTCAAAGGAAATTGGCTCAGGCTAGCTACGCGGCTTAACACTCTCGACGATCGCCATCCGTTACGTGGTCGAGCGAGCGTCTGTCCCAGTATAAGCATACAAAAGTACAAGTTGAATGCTAGAACAAGCAAATAGCAGGAGACTCGAATGACTCGGATCCAGCGAGTACTTCGGCAACTACCACTCACAGAGGCCGGGATTCTAGAGCCACTAGCGGCGCCAGCATATTCACCCAAGCTGGGAATAGAGATATAAAGTATCGATTCGTACAACCCTTGGATAAGGTCAATCTCTCCATCAGATATCTGCGCCTACTCAGATGAATCCTTAGAGGGGTACGGCCGCTCATCCTGTGGCTATGTCCTCCAGCACGGGAGATTAATATTTCAGGACCGAGGAGCTTACTACGGAGCAGAGGTCTATGATACGGAAATAATGAGAGCATTAGTCGCACATCAAGTCGCACAAGCTGCAAAAAATCCCCGGTGAGAAGATCTTTGTGCAGCTATACAACCAAGTCGCAGTGCGTGCACTCTAGACGGGGAAATCCTCATCCTGCCTCTTAACAACGCGGGTCTATTAAAGTCGCACGGAAGGCGAAAGTAAAAGTCAGATGGGTGCCAGGGCACTCAAAGATAAGTGGAAATGAAGAAGCCGATGCTGCAGCACGCTCAGCAGTCTCGACACTTCCAGCCTGACACCTACAGCCTGGATATATCGGGCAGGCATACTTGCGTCGATTGATGCACCAGCGTCGACAACAGCTGATTGATGTCTGGTGGTCGACATAATTCTAGCCCACTACCGCGATCTGTACCTATAAATGCGCCGTCTTAAACCACCTGAACTAGGAGTTTCTTGACGCCTACTCCATGAGCTTATAGCTGCTCGAACCGGGCACGGAGATTTTGCGGCACACCACCGACGATTTCATCATGAGGACGCCACACTAGAATGTGTTTGTGGGTTGGAAACTACACCAACCCACTTTATTCGCTGCCGATGGCACGCTAGCCAGATGCGCAGTCTTGGATATTATATGCCAGTAGAATTATTTACGAGTCAACTTCTTGGTCACAACTGTACCGGAAAGTTCACGGAATTTGTAAGGATAACCGGCTACTTCGGGAGCCTGCCTCCACGCACGTCCTCAGCTGGATGCGAGGATCGCAGTTATTAGAATTCTATAAACTAAGTGGTGAAGTAGGGACTTTGGTGTGAGAGACACTGGGTTGGTTCCTATCATGTTATTATTTTATGTTTTTTGTAATTAAATCCTCTCGTGACATTAGGTAGGGGTATAAGTAGTGTGATCGAGTGGAGCACGCCTACAGGCCGGGAGTATCTGTGCCTCGGGTATCGTACTCCCTCCTTACACTCTCTCTACAATAGAAGATAAAATTTTGAAGTAATTCTTTCGACAGGTAATTTTTATTAAATTATAAAAGCCTTGGTCAAACATAATCATTCTTATACCCTCAACATAATGGAGTGAGGCTTGTGGTAAATGTTAAATTAGGAGTATAAGGGTAAGGCGTTTGGAGATTTTATATACCTTGTATTATTAGTCCCTTATTAGCGTGGAGACTAGGCTGGTAGGCACATACAAGTAGGAGCATAGTCGCAGCATGAATTGATACTGCACGTGCCGTGGGAATACACGTTCTGTTAACCCTATACTTTATCAGTTCTACTTCCAGTACTACTGTATCACCCATCTAAAGGAATCATATTCTAATAATTTTGATAATTTCATTTCATTTTAAACCTCGGATTTTATTGACTTTATCTTTTTGGAGGATCGTGGCTCAAATTTTTGAATGCAAGTCCTAACACTAGGGGCATATTTGAGGGTATCCATGTTTGGTCTTCAGAATCATGACCTCCTCGTAATACGAAATCTTGAATGTTGTTTTTGTTTTTACTACGCTTTGAGCCGATTACAGCTTTTTTAGTGGGTAGTTTTTCGCCGGATTTTTTGAGCATTACGGATGAAGATGGAGGACTGATTTGGCCTCGAAGGGGATCTTTTCGTGAAGACAATGTCAGTCAGATTTGAAGTACGCAATATACTTTTTCGTACGCGAAGGCAAGCTGCAATAGATGGGCTAGAGAATTTACCGCAGAGCTCTTCAATTGGTCGTGCAGGAGGGCGAAGGCTGAACACCTGTCAGTGGTGTCCTCTACGAACCTGGGAGTGAAATATTCTCCCAGACCCGAGATTCAGTCACGACAAAGAGTGAATTTGAGAGTTTTCGTTGAGTTGGCGATCGGGAGGAGTGGTATTGGCTCATTTTTAGTCGAAAATCCGACTTGCTGAGAGTTCACAACCGCACAACTCAACGAAATCAACCATCTACACCCCAGATACAAACCGCAGACAGGCTATAACCTGTCTGATTTTCGTAATATAGCAACCGACTTCTTCAAGATCCTATTTTCTTTTTTTCTGGAAATTCAGTCCCAGCCAAATTCATCTCGCGGCCCTCTCCACAATCATCTCACCACCTACCGAAGCAATCTCATACCTCCAAAAGCCAAATCGCCATAAAAGAAGCAAGAAGATGTCCGATCCTACGCAACTGCCAGTCACTGTGAAGGTACGGTCGAAATACTGGCCTTAAATGCGTCCTCACCTCGGCCAAGGGCACCAACAACTCGACCTGTGACGAATCGCCACCGACGAAATACGTACGACATTTCCCCGGCAAACTAACTAGAGCGTTCGACAAAGGCTGAGGCACCGATGCCTCGGTCTTCAGCTCTCAGTCGCGTTTTCGACCTCCACAGTTAAGGGTATGGCAGCGACGGGGCAAGGCCGGAGGGGTGGACATTCTACAAAGTTTCTGGGACGACGATATCGGCTGAAGGATAGAGGGATGCTACATGAAGGAACCAAAAGGGAACACAAACTGAGGAGGCCTTGGTGGGCGACTGGATGAGGCCTCCAGTGAAGAAAACAACTCCTGTATGAGATGAGGAGATGCTGAGATGAGCCAAAGATGGGACTGAAAGGAAGTGAAAAGTTACAGATCGCGAAGGTATTAAGGGCTCGGGCGCGTGGTGGCCGGGGCTGAGCAGGAGTTTGCGCTTCGGTGTGCCAAAAGAGGGTTCTCTGGACGGTTGGGCTTGACATGATTCAACACATGGGTGAAGTCTGACGTGGGACGAGGTAGATGAACTTCATGGTAGTTAACCTGATCCAGCCCGGCCCCACCAGTGCTTAAGCTCCAGCAGGAGTGCAGCGGTAGTCACTTTATCTAGCACGTAAATGAACAAGACAAGACAATTGGCGTGCAGAGCCAATGATTTGAGCGTTAAGAAATACTTCACAATCTTGATAGGCTGGTGCAGAAGACTGGGTTAATACTCATGTAATCTCCTATTTTTCCCTCGCAAATATGAGATCTAAGCATAATAAATGGAGGATACCGGCCATTTCAGAAGCGAAATTGGTCCTTGCAGTAATTTACGTTCGAATTTTTATCCAGACACGCCTCCATCCATTGACTTGTCTACGGGAAATGTGGTCTGAGGCTCCACCGTCCCAAGTGGAGTAGTAGCCCAGTCTACTCAAAATACATCAGATAACCATCAGAAGGCCAACCACTGCAACCTCTATTGTTTGCTTGTTTTTGTTGTGTCAGCTGCACTCTCGCAGTCGAAGACTTGGCTCGCAAAAAGCTCAACTTTTAAAACTCCTTGCCAAATTTTAAATTCTCACTCCCGTCGAGATGGTACCCATTCACTGTGTCATCCTTTAAGCTGGTCTCGATTCCTACGACGGCCGTCCTGAAGGTCTGCCTCCCAGACTTGTCCTTGTATTAGGTGGCCAGCTTAGGCCAGAGAATAGTTGATCAGAGGTGTGGTCATTGAAACGAGGATGTATAAGGTCTTACTTGTATACTTGAGGTTTCGTTGGAGATCGATTTCATTGGGTGGGAGAGTTTGATTTCGTAGAGAGCCTTGGATCACTGCCTCGTCGGCTAACTTCTTCGGAATGGCGAAATCTGACTGAACTTGGATCTGCGAGAATATTTCACTTCCAGGTTAGTAGAATATACCGCGTGCAGGTGTTCAGTCTTTGCCTTCCTAACATTTACACCATGTCATAGCTAGATGATAAATTAGATTTTGAATTATTAACAATGCCCGAATCCACCATTAATCTTGGGCTTAGCTCTTGAAAGCTATTGTTGCCTGAAAGCTGACTTTGGCACTCAATAACTTCTCAATTTTTAATTTTCAGTATTTCAAATACCACAATTATCCAAGATTTGTTCAATATGAACACTTGAACGATCTTCACATCCTTGTCATCGATTCAAATTTTTACTAGAAACTCCACTCGTCCTAACACCTAGCCCTCTCAAGAGACGATTTTTTTTCTCGTTAGGTCATGTCATATGTTGCTTAGGTAGAGATTATATACGCTGTCATGGGCTTACTTTCTGCAGGATGAAGGAAATTGACCGTAGGGACGAGTAAAGGATTGAATTTATGTCAAATAAGGACTAGAATGTGGTTGGGCTACAGAGGTTTCAATCATCAAGATAAATAACACCTTGTTCATGCGGCATCTACAAAATATGTATTAGATTTTAAAACGTAAGTTTTAAATGTCATAGGGTTGAGTAGTTGCAGTCATTACATATTTATTCCATCAGATATTTATCATTTAAGTAATCAACTCAGTTAGATCACCCAAGAAGATTTTGGCAAGCTTGAGGTCTAATATAAAAAGAAGGTAGTCCCTACTTCCACTTCGGTTTTTGCATGTTTGGAGCGATACCAGGCGAGGTTATCGGTTGATTAGGCTGTGAAATACCTTCTCCGTTGACAACTAGATTTCCCCCACCATGTACTTTACCGATGACCATACCTTTAGCGACAGATTTGATAATAGCTCTCCTGCTTACACCAGCAACATCAATGTACACTAATCCAACATTTTTTGCCCCGGCTCCGATATGCTTGGTTATCTCGCCGGCTTCTGGTCCATATTTATGACTAAGAAAAGTTGTTGCCGCAGTACTCGTTCCTGATAACAGATTACGACTGGCCTGATCAATGCCATCGGCTATGGTAGAAAATGCCATCATACTTTTATTGATGAGACCAGGTTTGTAAGTCTCACCCGCTTTACCCTGGGAATCAAGACCTGTTTTGGTATGGGCTCGATCATTTTTCACCATTGTGGCACCAAAATTTTGGGCGTATCTTTGGACATGCCCTACAGTTTTGGAGGACAGATCTGCTGCACCTTCAGATATGGAAAATATTTTACGGATACGAGCATGAGTTGTCGGCTGAAAAGTTATGGGATTAGCGGTAGGCTTGGTCTTCTGAGTGTAAGAATCAGCTTGTGATTGAAGTGTTTTTGAGACATAGTCTGAGGTAGTCACGATAAGCTGAGACGCCAAGGCGGCTTTTGAAACAAGAGTGGAATTCTGATAAGCCGGATGTCTAGCCATCTCAAGATAAGATGATGAGGCGGGCGATACCTTGATCTTGTCGGATCCATCGCTAGGGAGGGTAATTTCAACAGGATCTGAATAAAATCAGTTAGACAGACCTCTATGCAATACACTGCGTTGAGAACTACCTTTAGAGCCGGGTTTCATGTGCACATCTTCAACAACGTGATAGTCTGTTCCAAGTTCACCGACTATATTTCCATTTTCTTCATCAACAAGAACAATCTTTCCACTTGAATTCCCGTTTGCGGGGAGATCGAATTCATTCTGTTGATAAGGAGGTGGGGGTAATGAGTCCATTGGATTTTCCACACATTTTGGAGAGTTTATATGCTCTAAAAAGGCTGTACATTGAGCTAATATAGACTCAAAAGTGTCAATATCTCCCTGAACATCTTTGCTCTGACTTGCGTTTGGAAACTCTAGGCGTATTAGTGAGTTACACTCTGGGCCTAAATCTCGCCGGCGTATGAGGTAGCTGTGAGGGGGATCACGGTACACTTGAGTAGCCGCTGGGAGGGTTATGTCAAGCGTTGGCGGGAGGTTGATGTGAAGGTAGCAGTCGTCAATGTGAGAGGCTTCAGATGAGGGGCTGGAGATAGAATGATCGCCCGTTGCAGTTGATGTCGGTACCATTAAAAGCGACAATGTCTGAGGACCAGACGGGGTTAAATTCCGCTCTACATTATTCTCTGATTGATAGGCTTTGACTCCCTCAATTGCGTATAACAGTTTGGGATTCTGACTGAGTTAGGATTGTAAGTAACATATAAAAGAGCACGCACTTTGGCCATGCTGAATAGAAATAACTATTAAATCACTGCTAGATTTATAAAGTTAGCTAAAATTGAAATGAAAGTGACAGGTATCATAGTGTTACTCGGCCCATGATAGTAATGAGCTTACGTTACGCACCCCAGAATCCACCGAAACTTGCTGAATATCTCATGCAATGTTGTAGTCCGTTTTTGCTGCACTGGGTATACTTAAAATCACATTCGAATTTTTGTCAGACCGTGAAACGAAGATAGCCAAGTAGGTTGATCAGAGGTAGTCACAGCTATGCGGTCCACCTTGACCACTCGGTCGGGAAGGGCGTAAAGTGTGCCTCGCTTTGGTTAAGGCAAGAATTGAACCGGATAAAAGAGGTTCTCATGTTGGGGTGTGACTGAGCTGACATATGACGATAAAAACCAGCACTTATACGCGCTCTCTGGCTATTATCAACATGCCCACGAAGGTCTACAAATTACAGCTGGAATAAAAATCCCAACTAGACTTACCTCCGTTCTATCATTTTCACTGTGAGGGACTATATCTGGTAACCTCTAATTACAGCCCAGACCTTCCAATAAGATGACATCGAAGCAGAAGAGAGGTATAATTTGGGGGATGTGTTGTTGACCAGCAAGCATAGCCTAGCTAATTTCAGTAGACACTGACTACCGTCGCTTCGATATCACATCTTGGTGACGTCATAGATGAAGATCTTCCCATCAAGTTGGCCGGGGAGATTTGAAGCGACTATTCTCGCCTATTCTCCCCGCGATACAGGATAGTTCAAGACTTCGAATTATTCAGCCAGCTAACATCATTCTTTTGCGTCTTATCGCCCGTCACAACATTACAATTTTCTGGTAAATTGATCCCCTACCTCAACTAGGTCAGATCTTGCTCGGTACTTCCGTTTTCTTAGATTGCGAAAAGAATATCTGCAATGATGCCTATGATGGATGGGTACTTACGTCAGGTTTAACCCACAAAATCCAGCCCCTCTTTCTACAGAAGCTATCAGCCCAAGAGGTAGCGATAGTAAAAATGCGTGCATGGGGAAATTTTTCGAAAAATCTGCAGCCCAAGCCAGGCGAGGCCTAAACATCGGGACCACATGAGGTGCGCATATTAATCTATATCTCCCTTCTTTGTAACAGTCGAGGTCGACTTGATCCAATCCACCATCTCCGTATCGGGTGCTGGGTACGCTCCGGAAACTCATCGGATAGCATTTCCTCCGTGATCAAGGGTTGATGATGAGAAGGGCTCTGACCCTGACATCTGATCAGATCGTGGTTAGCTTCATGATGATTGTGATAGAAGATGTGTCAGGGGATGAAGACAATTTAGACTCAATAGTAAAGCTGGGGGTTAGTAGGGACACTACTGATAGATTTTAAGTTTTCGTAAATCCAATTATTATTCTTGTGGAATTTTCTTCATAGTCAAAGACTAGGCAATGACTATAATTAAATTCTATTCTACTTAAGTGGAGCTTGAGACAGAGAATAGATGTAGATGACCTAGTGATAGATCTTCTAATAGGACTTTCTTTTCCACCAACATCGTGTCTTGTCATTCGAACGCAAGAGACACTAAACAGTTTTGTGAAGGTAAGAGCTTACGGGGTTTTGTAATCTGTAGATAAAGGGATCATTAATGATAAATCAATATGAACAGCTATTATTTTGATACGCGAGAGCAAAGAGAACGGAAGGGCAGAAAATGCGTCTTACAAACACATCTTGGGTAGCTAGACTGTATCCTTATTTTACAAAAACACTATCACGGAATATTCTTGTATCACATATCTGGTAGTATAATCGAAAAACAATTTCCATACAATGCTTCATCGTAGGACGTAGAGCTTCCACTTTAGCTCAGGACGTTAACAAAACAAAATGATCAACTACGGCTTTGTTTGTAGCCATTCTGCTGTCTGTTCGTATTTCTGCGAAAATAATTATGACTATATCTACCTTATCAGCTCCCCGACCTGCAACCAGTAAATTTTTGGGAGCCAAATTTCAAAATTTAAAACAGCATCAGCAATCGAACCTGTAAAAAATTTAGGTGAAGAGCAACACTGTCTTTTTCCACAAATAATATTCCTCTGATGTACTAAAACTAACATTATTTTGTCTAATTAACCATTCTGTGCAAAATCTGCTGCCTCAGAATTGATGACCTCCAATTTTTATTTGCAACATTGAAGAATGCACATCTATCACATAATATCAAAGAATAAGTAAATGACAGGTGACAAGATTTAAAATTAATGCACCTATGTTTGGGATTACATATGCAAGTACCATTATAAAGTTAGGGTAGCTTTTTCTTCACCCCAAGTTAACCTTCATCCATGAATACTCATCTAGGAGAACGTCTCAAAACCCCACGGTTATCCAGTTACGCCTCCGCCATTCATTGTCTTTTCTCCGCGCGAATGTAATCTGAGGCTCCTCCTTCCCAAGTGAAGTAGGTGCCCAGGCTACTCAAAATATATCAGAGAACACCACCAGGAGGCGGATCACAACACCTTCCATCGTTTGCTTGTTTTTATAGTATCAGCTGGACTCTCCCAATCGAAGTTTTGGCGCGTACACAAAGCTAAATTTGTAAAACTCCATTCCAACATTCGGAATTTCACGCCCATCGAAGTTATATCCTTCTTTTGCATAATCTTGTGAACTTGTCCTGATCCCTCTCACGCCCATCCCATACAGCTGTCTCCCAGATTTGCTCGCCACGCTTTGTTTCCTCCGTCGGGTATAAATATCGGTGTAGATTTGTATTTGGTGGTCAGCTGAGGCTAGAGAAAGTCGACGAGAGATGTGGTCATTGGATTGAGGATGTACTAAGTCTTACTTGTAGACTTAATGAGGCATCGGTAGGAGTGGAACTCATTAGGAGTGAAAATTTGTTTAGAGGCAGAGTCTTGAACAAATATTGCAAGGATCGACTTCTCCGGTGTTGCTAAATCTTAGCAAGCCTGGCTGTGGGAAAATCTTTAGCTCCCCAGTTCTGAGAGATCACCGTCAACATGTATTACATTTTTCTCCTTCAATTTATTGTTCGTGCCTAAGCACTAACCGCCCTGGCCTGCCGGCATGGGTCACTGCTCAGATGAAATTTATTCAACAAGGTTTGCTAGGGCCACTAGCTCGGCGTTAACCCAGCCTAGTACATCCTTGCGAGGCCCATCAGCGATCGGCGCACTTTTAATGCTGCTCTGAATTCACATGTGGTAACGATCTGAAACGGTGAAAAATCAATTCTATTGGCATGCCAAGAGCCCGAGCGGAGGACGAAGGCTGAACACCTGTCAGTTGTGTCCCATACGAGCCTGGGAATGAAGTATTTTCCTAGAGCCGAGATTCAGTCACGATAAAGGATGGGATGAATTTTTGGCTTGAAGGAGTTGTCCTCGATATTATGGTCGAAAAATCAGTCGGCAAAGATTTCACAACCGCAGGAAAGTCAAACAAAAACTCATCACCACCAACATACAATTCACGAATGGGCCTAGGTCTGTCTGGGGGTCGTATTTAAACATTAAACATCTCTCAAACTCTTAATATATTTGCAACGAAGCCTTTCTCATTTGATCCTACACCTGCGACCCACCTCCATATTCGTCATATCACCTACCTACGCACGCCCTAATGAGGAAAGTCATGATGAAAACGGGACGTGTAAAAAGGAGGAAAAAAAGAGGAGATACACTGAAGCGATCATATAGATCCCCAATGATGGCATCAGCCCATCGGTACGATATAAAGATACAAGGCCAGAGAAACAAAGAGATCTTGAACGGCAATTATATTCCGGAGTCAGTGAGAGTGTTAAAGGCTCAGGCGCGTGCTGGCCGGGGCTGAGGATAAATTTGCGCCGCGGCTTATACAGCGGGTTTCGGGACTGTCAGGCTTGGTACGATTCAACGTGTGGGTGAAGTTAAAGGTGGGATAAGGTATGTATGTACTTCACGGTAGTTAACCTGATCCGGCCCGGCTCCACTCGTGATCAAACTCTCTTAGGGGCGCCGAGACGGCCAATTGCCTAGAACGTTAACTTACCATCAATTTTTTTTCCGTTCTTTTTCTCCGATATTGTGTCATAATTAGATAGCTGCATATACAACTCAAATCTGATGCATAAAACAATACACATAATCCAGTTATTCGCCACGATATACACATTCTTTTACTAAAGGCATTTCATTGGACTCCCAGCAAGACGGTTTTGGGCCACTGCGACTGTGGACGGACCAGATGCGTAACAACCCCTAGCGTCAAAAAAAGAGAGGCTGTAAGTGACAATCAGTAAGCTCGGGCTCGTGACCTTTTTTTTTTTGTTTTGTTCATTTACGTGCTAGATACATGTCACCTATCGCACTCCTGAAGCTTAAGCACGGGTGGGGCCGGGCCGGATCAGGTTAACTACCGTGAAGTACATACATACCTTATCCCACCTTTAACTTCACCCACACGTTGAATCGTACCAAGCCTGACAGTCCCGAAACCCGCTGTATACGCCGCGGCGCAAATTTATCTTCAGCCCCGGCCAGCACGCGCCCGAGCCCTTGTCACCCTCTCAATCTCTAATTCTTTGTTTCCGTTTAGTCCTATTATCTCTTCATCTAAGCGTGAGGCCGTTTCCTTTGTTACAACCCCCTTCCGACAAGCCATCAAAACTTCCTTTCTATTCCCTCCAATTCGTCCACTGTGGCTTTTTCTGAGTCTGCCAGTATTCATCGAAATTTCAGAAACTTGGCCGACTTTTCATGCCTCTGGTCTTGACCGTGTAGGCCGTATATAGTTCGGAGAGCTCAAGACTGAGTAGCTTATATTTCGACCACTGTCGAATGCTCTGGATGACATACTGGCGATATTTAGGTCGTTTTTCATCGCAGGTCGAGTTGCAGGTGCCCCTGGTTGAGGTATAGACGAAAATAAGGTCGGTACTTCAACCTCATCTTAACAGCGCGCGACAGATGCGGTTGAAGGAATATCCATCAAACAGAAGGAGGATCGCCGCTGGAAAAATGTCTAGCCCACCATTAAGATTCAAATTTGATATGTAGCGTCACGCTTGTACCACTGCCCGAAACGCATTTGGAATAACTCTTAGAACATATGTGTTTCATTTGACGCCTATGGCAATTTTATCACAGATTCGACGAGCGGTATAAAAAGCTTAAAAGATAGTTAGAGAAGCTCTCGTCTTATCAATGGGCAAACAAAAGCCCATTAGATCAAAGTAAACGAGCTTTCCTCCTTTGAGTTCCATTGATTTTGACCTCGAAAAAACGCGCTCTCCTCAAATCACGATTTCTGAATATACTAGCAATAAATGGTTACAGATTAAACGAGCTACTTTACAATCCTATCTCAACAAAAACTTTTGGTCTTCAGGCTAGGCTGCTTCACCGCAATCCCTCTCAGCCATGATATTTCTGATACTTTAACAAAGTTGATTTGACCCGAGGAATAAATAATAGAACCATTGAAAAAGAGGCTACAAGGCAGAGTATAAATTTCCTAATTATACACTAGTCTGCTACGCCTAGTTATTCTATCCTGAAATTTTCAAAAAGGTAGTAGTATCTTCGGATTTAGTCCTGATTTCGATTGTGGGAGAACCCCTCACTAAACGCTTTTTAGGATTTTCCCTTGCAACAGACCTGCAAATAGCCTTATTTTCTCTAGATAGAGAGGGGAGATTATTACGTAATATCGGCTCTTGCAAGTGTATACCTAATTGAAGACCTACGGGTGCATTAACGTTGGAAGGAAGCTGCGAAGAGAGTATAAGAGTGAGTACAATAACTGGGGCATAGATACCCTCGGCCTGTAGGTATAAAGGACCTACATGTCCCAACATATTCATAGACTCAATCCTAAAATAAACCAATGTACATAGTACCTTTCTTGAGATACAAACATAATTTACCTTGATTCTAGCTCTTGGGGCTAAACCACACTGAGATATGCTAATATGACGTACAACTCGAGTTATTCGCATCGCTTTTTGCACCATTGCTGCCCAGTAGCTTTGTAATTAAACAATGAGTCAACTTAAACACCAGCCAATTTCGATTGTACGGACAAGTCGGTTCGTGAACCCTCGATCTGGACAGTTAGATCTAATGTATCGAACCCCTTTTTGAACCCGCCATTAAATAATAAAAGTTAGGAATTAGCCATTTTAAGTTAATGCTGTTCTTTTTACATCATGGGAATACTTTGACATCTTACTGAAATACGACCACTCGGTTTGTCGCATCATTTCCTACTTTGATTACAATAACCGGCCCTGACAAAGTACTCATTGAGGAAAAAATGGCACTCAGTCATAAAATTTTAAAGCATACTCAATCAGTTGATAGGCGAAGTGAAACTAAGTACAATTTTATTAGCCAGCTGTGTACCAACAACATGGGCTGCTTGACGGCACCAATTATTCCAGTTTCCAACGATTTTACAATTTACCAATTTCATGTTTTTTGACGTGATCAAACATTCAGGCATAAAAATAATGATGAGTGCAGCAGGTACTTCCAATTTGTGGAAAATAGATACTTCTCAAAGGTAATTCAATTGAGATGTACGGGTAATTTTTCCAGCTTAATGTATCGTGTTTTCGTTCTAGCAGCATCCTGGCACCCCAGCACCCCAGCTATCCATGAAACCTAAAGCCGGCATAAGTTAAATCGGGTAATCTAAGTCAGTGCCGAAGCAGATCCCGGTTGTGAAAACTTCTTTGTTTACTAAGTAGGGCTAGCATTTTGAAAAGTGGATCAATTAGCCATCCTGATTGCAAGAGTAATGAAAGTTTGAAGCTGAGTAGATACCAAATGATTGCGAGTCTTCTGAAAGTTTTCTCACTTTGATATAGCTATGATGAAGACCTGCATTAATTGGGCTAGAATAAGCTAGTAGATAGTGATAGGTAATGGCCCACAACTGGAATGTCCGCACAAACAGTGCATATTAGATTCATCACAAATTAAATTATTCCTCGACCCTTGGGACTTGTTTGCATAAAATATGAGTTTCGGAGTTTCCGCTGGTTAACGGATGACGTTAGCTAATCGCGCGGCCAGGGCAAACAGACTCCCGGTTTGGTATGCCTTGTTGTCCCACCATCATTCGTCACTTTGTTGGGGCCGAAGATATTACTCACGTGATATCGCTAACATGTCAGCATTGTAGAATGAATGTTGCCTTTATCCCTAGTTATAATACCGTCTTTATCTATAACATACGATAAATGTGAGCCCCACGCACAGAAAAGTTCCTGATATCCATGGAAACAAGTTCAACCGTCAGATTTAGAAACTACCACGACTATGGTATTCCATCGCGTCAGCAAATTCTTTCGAAAGGGTGATAATGAGGTGCTCTATGAGCCTATAGAAACACCTTACGAAGTCTTACATGATGACAACGATGTTCGCCGACCTATACTAGTTTTGCCAGATGAGCCGCGTCCTGAGTGTCAACAATTCTCATGGCTCGATTATACCGTTTTCATGTTACTGGGCATAGCTATGCTTTGGGCTTGGTAGGATGAAAATAGAGCATTGCAATCTATTTCTGGCTAAGTTTTTGACAGGAATATGTTCTTAGCAGCCGCTCCTTACTTTCAAAATAGATTCGCCGAAGATAAGGCTATTCTATCTCGATTTCAGGCGGCTATCACATCTATCAGTTGTATAACCAGCCTCTTCTGCATGCTTATCCTCACAAATATGCAATCCAAGGCAAACTACCTTGGAAGAATTATACTCGCATTGTTTCTAAGCCTGGTAGTTTTTAGTCTGCTCTCTATCTCGACGTCACATTTCAAGCAGACCTCCCCTACGTCATATCTAGTTTTCACTTTAATTATGGTATTCTTCACGGCATATGCATCCTCCCTATGCCAAAATGGTTCATTTGCATATGCCTCTAGCTTTGGGCGACCGGAGTATATACAAGCGATCATGACTGGTCAAGCTATAGCAGGAGTCCTACCAGCCGTTGCTCAAATCGTCTCAGTGCTCAGCGCTGAAGATCCAGACAAATCAGCATCTGACTTGGTTAGAGCTAAAACTTTGAGTGATGAGAGCGCTACAGCAGCATTTACATATTTTATGACGGCTGCTGGCGTTAGCATATTCACATTTCTAGCCGTCTTCTTGCTGGTCTTGAAACAGAACCGAATCCTCAGACGTTCACTTAAATGCGCTTTTACTAACTTTGGAGATACTAATATGACAAAGCGAAAGCCTGTCAGCATGTTGGCGCTTTATAAAAAGCTTCCATGGCTATCTGCAGCCGTATTCATATGTCTAGCTGTGACAATGTTTTTCCCTGTTTTTACGGAAAGAATAACCTCTGTCAGAACAAACGAGGACTCACGTCTATTTCGCCCTGATGCCTTCATTCCACTGGGATTTCTTGCATGGAATATAGGCGACTTGGTAGGACGTTTATTGACTTTAGGTCCATTCAGCATCCGTCGTATTAGTCCTATCATCCTTTTTGTCCTCGCTTGCCTTCGGGTCATCTTCATACCACTCTATCTCCTCTGCAATGTTGGAGGTAGGGATGCTATAATTAAAAGCGACGCTTTTTACCTTTTTGTGGTATCAGGAGGCTTCGGCCTAACAAATGGATGGCTATGCAGTGTATGTTTGATGAGTACCGGGTATTATGTAGAAGAAGGAGAACGCGAAGCAGCTGGTGGATTTATGATTGTTAATCTACTAGCAGGGTTGATGGCTGGCTCCCTACTTAGCTTTACGGTTTCCGGTGTAGGAACTTAATTTTTTAACATCTAACAGCTTAAGGTATTTGATCGAATAGTCACACTGAACATATAGCCATGATTAAGATACTTGGATAGCAAACATGTAAATGAATACGTGTACGAATTTAAGAAATAAGGATAATTGAAAATATTAACGAATTTTGAGATTACTTAAACAATTATCTATGGCTTGTCAGTAAATTAGTTGATAAAAGGTAACATCACAAAAAGATGGAGCCAGAGTTTAAAACTTTATGAATGTTAGGTGATCGTACCCTCTGCACTCCTATGGAATCTTATGCATAAGTGGGTCAGAGCTGCATCAGGTAAATTACCATTATATACATGAATTTCGCCCCTCGTAGGTGATTCGGAGCTGGCAAAGACGAATTCTTCACCTTCCAGTGGTGCCGGTGTAATCGCTCAGTATGCTCTGCATATCTGGGATAGCCAAGAAGAATCGCATCCGAATCGAAGTCGAAAACAAACATATGCATATCTCCATTTGAAAACTTCTCAACGATGCAGCACTTACCATTATCCTCCGAGTCCTCAACTTCTTTCAAACCACGCATCAACTCGCCTCACGACCAATAAAGAAGTTGCTCCAATTACAGACAGGAGCTTGTACCATTAATTTCCAGCCATCTTTCACTACATATTTACGACGCTATTTATACCCGCAACGAGGAAATCAAGTCGAAAAATACAAAGCCTGGGTCTTGGCTTATGGGAGACTGTTTTTTTTGCATCAGATTTTAATTGCGTATGCAGTTATCTAGTTATGACACAATATCAAAGAAAAGTATAGAAAAGATGACTCAATTTACAAGAGGAGCACTCATGCCTCGGATTTCATTTGCAAGTGCCACTGCAAAGTTATGGTGGCTTTTTCTTCACCCCAAGTCAACCCTCATCCGTGAATACCCGCCCAGGGAAACGTCTCAAAAACCCTGAGTTATCCAGACATGCCTCCATCACCTTTCAACTTTTCTCCGCGCGAAATGTAATCTGAGGTGTCTCCTTCCCAAATGGAGTAGGTGCCCAGGCTACTCAGACTATACCAGAGAACACCACCAGGAGGCGGATCACAACACCTTCCATCGTTTGCTTGTTTTTATAGCGTCAGCTGCACACTCGCAAGCGAATTCTTGGCGCGCACAAAGCTGAATTCGTAAAACTCCTTGCCAAAATTCAAAATCACACGCTCTTCGAGGTTATATACTTCCTCTGCATCATCTTGTAAACTTGTCCTGATCCCTCTCACGCCCATCCCATACAGCTGTCTCCTAGATTTGCTCGCCACGCTTTGCTTCCTCCGACGGGTTTTAATGTCGGCGTCGGCGTGTATTTGGCGACCAGCTGAGGCCAGAGAAAGTCGATGAGAGGTGTGGTCATTGAGATGAGGATGTACTAGGTCGTACTTGTAGACTTGATGAGACTTAGGTAGGGGCAAACTCGTTGGGAGCGAAAAAACGACGTGGAGGAGTAATTTGAATCATTGCCTCGTGGGCCAACTTCTTTGATATTGCGAAATTTGACTGAACTTGGCTCTGGGAGAATATTTAACTCTCAGGTTCGTAGAGGACACCGCGTACAGGTGTTCAGTCTTGCCCTCCTATGGGAGACTGTTGCTCCAATGGGACAAACAACTTGAGGGCGAACATGTTTCTGAAGATTTTGCTGGAACTGACATTTTCGAGGGGTTTTCAACTTTGGCGCGTTTGTGAGCGCCTAGACTGGGATTTCGGCCAATTAGCCAGGAGAACTTCAATTGTTGATGAATCAACGGCACTCCTTAGCGCCCTGGACGGCACAAAAGAGGTTGGACTAAGCTACTATTCTGCAATCACACTCTGTTAAGACATTTCTGACATTTCAGCACGACCTTCGGGAAGGAGTTGGAAGGAGGCTAGAAAGGCAGAGGGCGAATTTTCCGAGGTACCCACAAGTCTGCAACGCCCAGCTGGCCGGCCTCTTTGGACGCTTTAGAAGGATCACTTTATCTTCAGGTTTAGCCCTAATGTCGGTATTAGGAAAGCTCCGCACCCAGTGGCTTTTTCGATTTTTTCCGGCTGCCATACACCTCCAAACGGTCATCGTTTAGTTGGGTGGAGAGGGGAGATAATGAATGGCAAAGGGCACCTCTAAGTGTATGATCGATTGAGGGCTTGTGAGGGGTGGTAATGTTTGAGGGGAGCTGTATGGGAGGGATAGGAGGGGATAAACTACTGGTATAGGTATCCTTGGTCTGTAGGCAGAGAGGCCTTGCATATCTTACATAGTCATAGACTCGGACAGGACAATAAACTGGGTTAATAAAAATCTGTTGCAAAAAAGAAAGAGCTCGGACACTGCGCGCCCGAATCATTTACACCGCCCCCACTTTAAGTTCTTAAATATCCAACTTATTGGATATAAATGTGCTTCGATATCTGATCAGATAACAATGTACGTTGTGATAAAGATGTTCTTTTTTAATCTACAATAGTGATGATAAGAAAAACAAACATCATTTTGCACAAAATGCGGCACCACGTTCATCGAACGGTATTTCATCGTCTTTATTATTGCATTCATCTTAATCGATCTCTCTTACCTGATTCTCTGATTTTTTTTCTTTGCGCTCCGGCATGGCGAGTTGGGGAGCCAGTAGGGGTGATTTCGCGGCTGAAAATTTTTTCACGGCACCACCAAAACCAACAATGGGCAGCGGAACAGCCGCAATTACGGCTGTAGAGTCTCTCGCGACCTCTACAGGCGTCAATATGAATTTTTTAAAGACAGTGGGGACATATCTTAGTAAGGTCCAAGGCAGACTGGTGAATTCAGATACTTACATATCTGCGGCACCGATGGCGGAGATAGATGAGGCTCTTGACGCTTTCAAAACCCACACGCAGATGCTACAATCAAAGATTTCGGCACAGCCAATTGACGAAAGGATGCTAGCCTTAGAGAAGGCGACTAAGAAGAGTCTCGAGGAGCCAGCGCGCAAGTCGGCTCCTCGGTCGGCACAAACAACGGGAGGACGACCTACTTACGCATCAATCTTCTCACCGCCAGCCACCAAAGCGGCAGTACGGATAAGAGTTGATTGAGCAGACGCCGTAAGGCAACTACGCAGCAACGATACTGAGGTGTTCGTGCAGTCGGTCTCCAAACGAGACGCTGTCTTGGGGATGACGCAGCCTAAGGAGTTCTTCGTCCTAAAGCAGGATTATCCTGTTGAAAATTTAGGGGTCCTACTGAGGACAATAATACACGGATGAAAAAACGCCAACAATAGCGGAGCAATTTTTAAAATGACAACGGAGACAAAATCTCGGGTTCCTGGAATCCAAATCAACAGGATGAGGTGGCTTTACGACGGAAAAGAGCATCAATGGCTGAAAAAGAACGGCCATACTCGAGGGTCGGTGAGCGCAAGCTTACCGACAGAGGCTCTAGAACGCGAAGTGATTCGAAATAGTATTGTAATGGATTCAATACTATAAACGGCCCAGCTCTGTCACCCCGGGCATAAGTCAAGCATTGCTTCAACTGCGGTCAATCGGGGCATACCCAAGCTTCCTGCAACAAGGCAAGGAGATGTGGAGGGTGTGCGGTCACCCATCAGACCAGGGACTGCCCGAAGAAGTCGGTGCAATGCTGTAACTATGGCAAGGCCCACTTATCGTGGCAGAAAGAGATGTGTCCAAGCTTCGCGGCATACAAGGCCAGCGTCCAGCGGGCACGTTATGGACTTATGGAGAAAACGGAGGAATAAAGAAGGAAAATCGAACTATTCACGGCAACTGCACTAAAAACGGCGGCAAAGCAAATAGACGACCAAGGGTTCACACTTGTGTCCAACCAAAAGCCAGAGGTTTTAAAGAGAGGGCCAGGACGCCCGCGCAAACAGCCCCTGTTCAACCCACCACCTCAACTATTTGCGCCATCGGGGTCAAACTCAAGACCACAGTCATCACTTTTCGGCACGCGAGGGCAGGGAAAGGATGGCGAGGTACACTACAATTTTAGCTTGTCTTGTCTCGGGCTCAAGGCCAATGGCACTTCCTGCAGGTAACGAAGGACTACAGATATATAAAAGCTAATAGGGGGAGGGGGTTTTTATCGTAATGGTTTCCCCCTCACGTAAATATTTAGATAGGTTTATAGCCGCCTCATGGGCCCATAGGGCGCCAAAGCGGGTTAAATGAAATCAAATTCAAAAAAATAGTGATAAAATTACACGAGGCTGACTATCCAGCCTTGTACCCTTAAATTGTGCGAAGACCTCATCACAATGTTACTTCCACATGAAATAATAAAACTACATGGTCGTCGAAGAGTAAACTGTGCAACGACAAACAAAACACTAAGTCCTAGTTTTGCTCTAGCTCTCAATCATGGGTATTTTCGTTCGTTGACGTTCTCCTCCAGGTACTTACTAAATCCATTTTCGTTTTGATTCGCTTTTGGTCGTCTATTACAGCTTCTTGTTCATCTTTCTGGTCGTATCCCCGTCACAGAAACTTTGACCATAGTCTATCCTTCCTGTTCTACCTATCGCTGCCTTACCGGTATAAGTGCATACCGAATACACAATAGCTTCTTTCCAAAGACGGATTTCCTTGGGTTTGTTTATAGCTCTCGTACAAGTGCTGAAGAGATCACGCACATATTTCGTCGGTGGCCATTCGTTGCAGCTGGAGTTAGAGTTGTCCTTGGTCGAGGTGTAGACGCATTTTAAGCTGGTCATTCAATCTTGTATTCACTGTTACGGTCTGACTATTCTGTGAGCTCTGGCGGATTTCCAAGCTTAATATTTGAAAACTTTACGACAAGCTGAATGGGGAGCGGTAGATAAACGGAACGAAACGGCATTACTAGTCACAAGGGGAGGGCAAGATTGAGTAACTGTACGCGGTGTCATTTATGAATTTGGGAGTGAAATATTCACCCACAACATAGTTCTATCAAACTTCGCAATACCTAACACGCTGGCCCACGAGGCAATGATTCAAGGATCTC